GTTTCTCTCTCTCCTCCTCCTCCTCTCTGAAATATATATATATATGAGCAAGGGGGAAATTTCATACCCCTATCAGAATTTAATAAAAAGTGCATACTAATTTATTACCAAACATGGCAAATAATTTCATTACTATACCCCTTGAAGTTCATTTCTGAATGCCAGACACTAGTGGTCAGAGGCATTCATTTCAATATTTATTGAAAACCTACTATGTACATTCTAGTTTTTGCCATGGTGGTTCCATCCAGTTGGTGGCACTCATACATACACACATATAATGTAATGTCAGGATAAGTATTATAAATGTGGGGTGTTCAGGGAAGGGACTCCCTGAGAAGGTGACATTTCAGCAGAAGCAAGAAAGCAAAGGAACAAGTAATTAAAATACCTGTTAGGGAACCCCATGGTGAAGGAACAGCAAGGGATAAGGTCCTGTGGCAGGAATGAATGTGATGATCAAGAACAGTAGAGTAAGCAAACTGTGTAGGGTCAACAGGCCATTAAAAGGACTTTGGTTTTTCTTCTAAGTGAAAGAGAAGTCACTTGAAGATTCTTAGAAATAATAATGATAATGATGATGATGATGATGGCATGATCTGACTCATCTTAAAATGGTCCTTCTGGCTGCTGTGTGGAGAATAGACTGTAGGGAACAAGGAGATCAGTTAGGAGGTAACTATAATAGTCAAACAGTCACACTTGCACAAGGGTGGTGGCAGTGGAGGTGGGAAATTCTCAGGTTATAGATACATTTTGAAGAGAGAGCCAACACGGAGAGAAACCAAGATGGCAGCATAGGTAAACACCGGAAATTGCTACCTCACACAATCACTTCAAAAATACAACTAAAAGACAAAACGGACATCATCCAGAACCACAGGAAGGCTGGCTGAGTGGAAATTCTACAACTAGAAGGAAAGAGAGAAGCACACTGAGACACAGAGGAGATGTGGAAGTAAAGTGCAGAGGTACGGAGGCTCAGGTGGAAAGGGCTGGCAACTGAGGACACGGTTGTCTTTTTCAATTGGGAGGGAGACACACGCTCCCACTCTGAACTCCAGTTCTGGGGACCCAGATTCATACGGGGAGAAACTGGACTGTCTGGCAGCGGGGGAACTTGAGGGCGGCTTTTTCTCAGAGGTGCTTGCAGTGATTACTGGGACACTGAGACCCGGGACCTCTTAGGGTAGGACTGAGGAGCAGTCATAGCTGCTTGCTCCGCCCTGTTGATCCCCACCCACACTGTGCGCAGAGGCCTTTGCATATGAAAGGCCTGGCCCTTTGCAATTTGAAAATTACCTAACAAACTGCAGCTGGGTCAGAGAGACCCAGAACTTCCAAAAGAAGGCCCAAGGCCCCACAGCAGCTTGCATTGCTTCACAGCTGGGCCTCATCTGGGCACCTCCAAACCCCAAACAAAGAAGAGGAATCTGCAGATCTCTCCACAGTTCCTGCTGGGTAGCCTCAGGCAGGGGCTAAATTAGCACCTCCTTAGAGATCCAAGAGCCAGTGTACCCAGTGGTTAGATCCATAAGGGACACACTCAGGGGACAGACACAGTGAGCACCAAAGCCCCACTGAAGCAAGTCTTGCCCCAGAAGGGTGTCTCCAGCACAGAAGTTCTCCCACTGCAGACACAGCTGATTCTCACAGACAATTGGCCTGGAGGTCAATTCCACCCAGTGATACCTACAACAATCAAGGCTTAACTACAAGACTGTGCACAGAGCCCACAAAGGGGTGCACCAAGCGTGTCCACCTCAGGTAATTGGGGAGGCTGAGCCACTGGGCCCTATAGGACACCTAGCCCAGAAAGCCACTCTATCAACACAGAGAAGCATAAAAAATGCGGAGACAAAGAAGCAGGTCACAAATGACAGAAATGGAGGAAAGCAAACTACTGGATATAGAGTTCAAAACCACACTTTTAAGGTTTTTCAAGAATTTTCTAGAAACCACCGATAAATTTAGTGAGACCCTCAAGAAATCTAGTGAGACCCTTGAGGATATGAAAAAGGACCAACTAGAAATTAAGCATACACTGACTGAAATAAAGAATATCATACAGAGATCCAACAGCAGACTAGAAGATTGCAAGAATCAAGTCAAAGATTTAAAATACGAAGAAGCAAAAAACACCCAACCAGAAAAACAAAAAGAATCCAAAAATATGAAGATAATGTAAGGAGCCTCTGGGACAACTTCAAGCATACCAACATCCGAATTATAGGGGTGCCAGAAGAAGAGAGAGAGCAAGATATTGAACACCTATTTGAAGAAATAATGACAGAAAACTTCCCCTACCTGGTGAAAGAAATAGACTTACAAGTCCAGGAAGCGCAGAGAACCCCAAACAAGAGGAATCCAAAGAGGACCACACCAAGACACATCATAATTAAAATGCCAAGGGTTAAAGACAAAGAGAGACTCTTAAAAGCAGCAAGAGAAAAATAGCTAGTTACCTACAAGGGAGTACCCATACGACTGACAACTGATTTCTCAACAGAAACTATGCAGGCCAGAAGGGAGTGGCAAGAAATATTCAAAGTGATGAATACCAAGAACCTACAACCAAGATTACTTTACCCAGCAAAGCTATCATTCAGAATTGAAGGTCAGATAAAGAGCTTCACAGATAAGGAAAAGCTAAAGGAGTTCATCACCACCAAACTAGGATTATATGAAATGCTGAAAGGTATCCTTTAAGAAGAGGAAGAAGAAGAAAAAGGTAAAGATACAAACTATGAACAACAAATACACATCTATCAACAAGTGAATCTAAAGATCAAGTGAATAAATAATCTGATGAACAGAATAAACTGGTGATTATAATAGAATCAGGGGCATAGAAAGGGAGTGGACTGACTATTCTCGGAGGGGGGAAAGGGGTGTGGGGGATGCCGGAAGAGATTGGACAAAAATCGTACACCTATGGATGAGGACATTGGGGGGAGCAGTAAGGGCAGAGGCTGGGGTGGGAACCAGGTGGAAGGGAGCTATGGGGGGGAAAAGAGGAACAACTGTAATCATCTGAACAATAAAGATTTAAGTTAAAAAAAAAAAAAAGAGAGAGAGAGAGCCAACACGATTGCTGAGGTGAAATCTGAGAGAAGTTAAAAATAATCCCTAAAGGTGAAACTATTTTGTATGCTACTATAATAGTGAATACAGGACCTTAAGCATTTGTCAAAACCCATAGAATTCTATAGCACAAAGAGTAAACTTTTGTGAGTGCAAATATTTTTTAAAAATCATTTAGGAGGTCAGGATATCTCAGATGCAGTACAGAATGTGATATTCTGAATCTAAATGTATACAAATGCATTAAAAAAAATTCACTGAAGGGGTGTGTAGAATCAAATACTGACCTCAGTAACTTTGGAAATGAGTCCGTAAGACGAAAGGCAAAAGGAACAATACATGTGCACTGTACTCCAGTCGATTTAAGTTATTCCCACAGGGAATATAGGTTAACAATTCTGAAGCCACTATATATGAATACAGGAATTGAACAATTAAGTAAATGAATGGGAGATGGTGAAAGCTAGGTTTATCACTGTTGAAGTGGGAGGTTACAGATAAGCCAGGAGACTAGAATGATTCGCATGGAATGGATAAGAGTTGCAGGCACAAGTATGAACTCATGTTTAGCTTAATATAGCTATCAGTGGCTACATATAGAAATATTTATAGATACATAAGTATATACAGAGATACACACATATCTCTTGCTCTGTCCACTGAGAGGGCCTAGAAGCATGAGCATCCCAGTAGCAATGAGTACCCCTTGTACCCAGATCTCGGTGTCTAATACCATTCTCCAATAAAAGCAACCAGGACTCCGTGGAGAAATGATTAATTCTAGGACTAAGGCAAAAAACATGCAAGATAACCCTGGAGCAGAAAGTAAGGAAGTGTTCAACAGAACAAAACATTGATTGGGGTATGTCAAAGGGATATAGGAGACAACTGAAAGGGAGTAACTACAGTAGAAAAACTTGACTACTTCAAGCTAGTCATCCAAATTACCATCAACAGTGGTAACTTATATTTGGTAGTATGTGCCCCTGATGTGATGTGATGAGAATGGACTTTATCTCTGTGGCCTTCCTCCCTATAGCTTATAACTCCAATCTAATTGAGCAAATCTGAATAAAGCATAGACTTTAGTTAATAACTTACTAATATTGGTTCATTAATTGTGAAAAATGTACTTTACTAATGTAAGATGTTTAATAGGGGAGTTGGGTGTGGGGCATATGGGAACTCACTGTAGTATCTTTACAATATGTAATTATGTAAATCTAAAATTGCTCTAAAATAAGTTTACTGAAAAAGTCAACATTTCAAAATAAATAACCCCGGAGACGTTTATAGCTCTCCAGACTTAGAAAACTGAAATAAAATCTTCTCTGAGACTGAAAAACCCAGATTCCAAGTGTGTTGGTAGGGGATTCTTGGCTTCTCATGAAGCGATTTTAAAATTCTGTTCTGAGCCGTCAGGCGTTGCTCATGTTACGGGAATTTGCCAGGTTTGTCCCCATTGTGTGATTCTCTCATCATTGATGTTTCTATCTCTCTCTCTCCCTCTCACTTCCTCTCTGAAATCAATTTTAAAAAAATTTTTCTTTTAAAGGCATGCCTCATTTTAAAAAATAAAATAAAATTCTATTTTGAGAAGTCAACTGAAACAGACTAGGGAATAGAAAATCAGTATCATGAGTTAGTCCCTGTCCCATAGCAATGGGCTGCGTATAACCAGACCCATCCCCTTACAACAAATTCCCAAGAATGCTCCAAAGTGGGTTAAAGTTTTGCAAAATGTCATCTCCCAGAGCAGTCAGACTGGAAGCCAGAGGGCTGAAACGGGGGTCCAGGGGCCCTGCAAAATGTAATTAATAAACTAGAATTTGTTGCACCACTTAAAAAGTGTGAGGTTTCACATACTCGTTTCCCAGTTGCTCTGAAAAGAATTCACCCAACACGCAACTGCGCACCTTCACCAACTGCTTAGCATTCACCATCTCATTTAATCCTCAGGTCAAGCGAGGAAGCCAGAGATGGCCCGCGGTTACACACAGCACCACGGGGCCCTCGGGCCTCGAACCCCGGAGCCTGGCTCCACCGGTCGGAGGAAAAGTCCGGTCAGAACCCCGAGGAACGCGGAGTTCTGGCCGGGACGGAGCCAGGCGAGGCCTCCGCCTCCCGGGAACTCAAGTTCCCTCCGCAAGTAACTTCCTAACGGCCCCTGGGAAGTTACTCTGGCCGCGCGCGGAGAGACCGAAACCGGCGGAGCAGAGCCGCCGGGACCGCAGAGCCGCGGGCCCCAGCCTACACCCCGCTCCCGCCGCCGCTGCGACTCCGCCCCGCCCCAAGCCCCGCCGGGCCGCCAGCGGTGCCGCCGCACTCACCTCCCGCGCCGCCGGCGCCTCGCCCCGGAAGTGGTTCTCCGCGACCACGGTTCCCGGAAGTGACGCGCCTAGCAACCAGCGGGCTCAGCTCCGCCCGCGTTGCTAAGGCTGGTGGTTTGTTAGACTTTTGTCCCGACTCCGTGGGTTTGAGCCAGAGGGAAAGGCCTGGGGAAGCAAGATCGAGACCCCGCCCCGCCTCGCTTCTCCAAATCTGTCACTCAGCCCATGTCAGCAAACGTTTATAGATGTTTATTGAAGAAGCCTTAATTCTGTGCCAGGCCCTGCGCTAGGAGCCTACAATGCAGAGGGGAGACAAACAAGCACGTTCTTATCATTCTAACAGAACCAAATTATTAGAATGCGTTCAGAACATTCACGGAGCACCAACTCTATGCCTTGTGCTGGTTACCGGGGCTACAGTGCTGAAGAGAACAGGTGCAATCTCTACCTTCATGGACCTGACATTCTGGTGGAGGGAGATAGACTAAAATAATTAAACGAACATGTAATCATACAATGTGATAAGTATTTGAAAGCCAACGAATAGGATTCTGTGACTGAGTATGGGTAAATAGGGGGAAAGGAGATCTAGTTTAGTGTGTGGTAACCAGCCTCCAGCATGGACCCCCATGATTCATGATTCCTAGTATTCATGCCCTTGTGTAGTCCCCTCCAACAATGAATAGAGCAGACCAGTATAACCAATAGGATGTGGTGGATATCATGCAGCATGAATTCCAAGATTAACACATAAAAGACATTGCTCTTCCTCTTTGCTCTCTTTTGATCACTCACGGGGAATCCATGTTGTGAAGACAAGCAAGCAGCCCTAGAAAGAGGCTCCCATGGGCCATAAATGAAGCCTCCTGCAAACAACCAACTCTAACTTGCCAGCCATGTGTGTATGCGGGACCTTAGGAGTGGATCCTCCAGCCCCAGTGAAACCTTCAGACGACTTGCCAAAATCATAAAATATAACCTCATGAGAGGCATTGAGCCAGAAACACTCAGCAAAGTCATACTTGAATTCCTGTGTCAGAGAAATTGTGAAATAAAAAATGCTGCTATTTTAAGCTCCTAAATTTCAGAGTCATTTGTTGTGCAGCATAGATAACTACTTCATAGAAGATCAAGGAGGAGAGGGGTTGGATGCTGACGATTCAAAAAAGAATTAAGACCTAATCACATGCCCTAGCTGGTTTGGCTCAGTGGATAGAGCGGTCCCCTGAGGACCAAGGGGTCGCAGGCTCGATTCCAGTCAAGGGCATGCACCTTGGTTGCAGGCTTCTACCCGGCCTGGGCCCTGGTCAGGGCTAGTGCAGGAGGCAACCAATTGGTGTGTTTCTCTCACATCGATGTTTCTCTGTCTTTCCCTCTCTTCCACTCTCCCTAAAAATCAATGGAAAAATATCCTCCAGTGAGGATTAACAACAAAAGAGACCTAATCTTACCCTAAAAGAGCTCACTCTCTCTTGGAGGATACAGACAGAAATTATTATAATTCACTCAACATCCGCTAATCCCATACTGTGTGAGGTTGGTATGGAGGATCCATTCATTCATTCATTCAACAAATATTTATGGAGTTTCATTTCTTGATCACGTGCTATGGAACTGAGAAGACAATGATGAGTAGGTGAGTCCCCACCCTCACCGTGCTTACAGACTAGGAGTTAATGTCTGACAGCTCCATTAATCAATCACACAGAGAAATATGTTCAAATGAACCATGAGGTGGGGGAGAGGAAATCATGAGAATAAATGACATGGGAGATACCATCAAGAGAGTGTAATCAGGAAAGGCCTCCTGTGGAGGTGACATGTAAGCTAAGAAATGAAGACTGAGTAGGAGTTTTCCAGGCAAAGAGAAGAGCATGGTGGAGGTGGGAAGGCCGTGGGAAAGGCTTGGAGCATAAGAAGGCCTGAAAGGTACAGATATTTAGTACAAGACTTGCTACTGCCCAAAAGTGGTTAACTGTGGGGTGTAGGTGAGGAGGGTCATAGGAGATAGTGATGTTTTATGTGTTGAATTGTGTCCCCAAAAAAGGATAAGTTGGAGTCCCAATCCCAGTACCTCAGAATGTGATCATATGTAAATAGGGAACTTACAGAGGCAATCAAGTTAAAATGAGGTCACTGGGGTGGATCCTAATCCAATATAATTGGTGTCCTTAATAAAGAAGAGAATTTGGTCACAGATACACATGTAGAGAGAATGTAATATGAAAATGGAGACAGAGATCAGGGTGATGATTCTACAAACTAAGGAATGCCAAAGATTGCCAGCAAACCACCACAAGCTAGGGGAAAGCCATGGAACAGAGTCTTCCTCACATCCCTCAGAAGGTGCTGGCACACGCCTTCATTTCAGACTCCTGGCCTCCAGAACTGTGAGAAAATAAGTATCTGTTGTGTAAGCCACCTACTTTGTGTTACTGCAGCCCTAGCAAACTAATACAGATGTGCAGGTGCTTTGAAAACTGTTACTCTCCGTATCCAAATGCGAAAGATCTTCAGTGCGGCTGCTGCAGGCACAGCTACTTTCTCAAGCTTCTGAAGGGTTCCAGCTGAGTCTTGCTCATCTCTGAGCTATGCATGGCTCCATTAGCACCACAGCACAATGGAGAGCTTTGTGGAATGCTTGTTCCTATCCATCATACCTACTTGAGGCACACTGTTTGTCCTATGAAAGAGAAAAAATTGAAAAAGACATGGTCTCTGCTCTGAAAAAAATTCTAAACTAGATTAACACATGATGAGGTTACCCAGTTTGCAATTATTAATTATAGCTGCCATTTATTGAATAATCACTAGGAGCCAAGCACTTTACATATGTTAATAGTTTCCCCACAGCCATCCGATATTGCAGGTATTATTATTCCCATTTACAAGTGAAGAAACCTAGGGCTGGAGAAGGTAAGCAACTTCCCCAAGGCCTCACAGAAGCTGTGGCTGTAACCATTGCACTCCCCAGCCAACTGGTGGAAGTCAGATGAGCAATTCAGGCATGAGTGCTCTAGGAAGAGGGAAAGATCAGCAAGGACTGAGGTATCTGGGAAGGCTTCATGAGGGAGGTGGCTTGATGTGGTTCCCAGATGACGAGTGGGATTTGAATATGAAAAAGGAAAGTAGAGTAGAAAGACTTGTTTTTCCACCTCTGAGCCTTTGCCTTCCTCAGTCTCTTTGCCTGGAATGCTCTTCTCTCCTGGATCTTCACAAGAAAGGCTGTTCTCATCCCTCAGAACTTAGCTCAAATACCTTTTCAGGAAGAGCTTCCTTTATCACCCTTTCTAGCTGATTATTATTTTTTTATTTTTTAAATATATTTTATTGATTTTACACAGAGAGGAAGGGAGAGGGATAGAGAGCCAGAAACATCGATGAGAGAGAAACATCGATCATCTGCCTCCTGCACACCCCCTACTGAGTATGTGCCCACAACCAAGGTACATGCACTTGACCAGAATTGAACCGGGGGCCCTTGCGTCCGGGCTGATTATTATTTTTTTAAAGATAGATCCATCCCATACGCTCTTCTACCCCAGGCCTACTTTCACCAATAGCATACCATGGAAGTCAGTCACCATGTAACAAGTGTGACTAGCCTGAGATCACTGAGCTGTGAGAAGCCCAAAGCACATGGGAGGAAGAGAATTCAAGAAGCAGTAGACATCTGATCTGGGAGTGAAAAAGCCATCTTGGGCAAGTGAAGAGATGCACAGGTGTGTGATAAAGATGATATACTGTTAATTGGAGAATCTGGGTGGTAGGTATAGTGTTTCCTGTACAATTCTATCAAATTTTTTATATATTTGAAAATTTTCACTACAAAATTTGGGGCAAAATATAAACCATCTTGGAAGTGGATTCTCCAGCCTCAGGCACCTCAGCAAACACCACATGGAGTAGAGATAAACCTCCCACCCCAGCCTTTCCCAAATTCCTGACTCACAGAATCACAAGCTAAGTAAAAGTGCTATAAGACTAAGTTTTGGGGTTCAGGTTACAGAAACTCACTATATATACTTACTTCCTTTCACAGCTTCCTGCCCATTTATTTCATCACATCTATAATTATCTTGTTTCCTTACTTATTTATCATCAGTCTCTCTCCCAGTAGAATGTAATCTTCATCGCCTTTGTCCTAATACTTAGCACACTGCCTGGTACATGTAGGTACAATAACTGTTGCGTGTCCCATCAAACTGGGACCAGGAGATGGGGCCCTTCAGAGGAGTACTGAAAGAGAATATGGACTTCATAAAGTGGTGAGAAAGCTGGTTTTGATCAGTTGGGCTGCCCAACATCTGAGTCCCCATTTGTGGGAACCCCAAGAAGCAGGAAGAGGCAGCCCCCTTGCCCACTGTGGAAGTTGGATGGATAGACACACCCTCTCTTCAATCCCTGCTAGAGGATGGATGCTGAGCGTCATCAGAAACCCCCACCCCAGACTCTGAATCTGGAAGCCGGAATGCCAGCTGCAAGGTTCGGTCAGAAACTGTGGTGAGCCCAGAGTCTGGGGCCTTGTTCAGAGCAGGTGGTTCTCAGGGCAGGATCTTGGCCACATCTCATCTTGGGTGGTTCCATCAACCCCTTCTCTGCCTTAGGTTCAGCTCTGGGGTGAAACAAAGAATGCTGGACCAACACAAGGGGCTGACTTCCTCCAGGCAATAGGGACACTTCTACATGCCCAAAAGGCCAGGGACACATTCCTCCTGGAGCCAGCAGAGCCCAAACAGCAATGGAGACTCATCATATTCTGGACTCTTTCTCTGGGCCTCCAGGAACCTCACAGCAGATAAACAACTTTGATTCTTCAAGGCCTGTTCTTCTCTTGCTTTCTAAAGATGTGGACTCAGGGTTGGATTCCATTGTCAGGGGTCTATAAACACAC